ACCGCTGTCCTCTTCAGTCAGCCAGTGATCCTCAGAGCTGCAGGAAGGAGGAGTCAGCTCCAAGCAAGAGAGAAGCAGGAACAAAAGGGAGGGGAGTTCAGTGTGTGAGCGAAATGATGTGCATCTTCTCAGCCTGCCTTGTTCGAAACAAGAAATAAGGTCCTTGCTAAGCCTTCCCCTTTGTTTTTGACATATAAAACTAGCCCAAATACTAGCTCAGGTTTGATATAAATGACAAATAGTTTGAGAGATCCAACCTGCTGCACTAAGGGACTGCTTTAATTCATATCCAGACCTCTCTGATTCTTAATCCGTTGGAAGAAGAATATTATCAATGCCATTTTTAAAAAGAATAGGATACTTGCTATGTTATATAATGTATATAACTTACATATATATGTATATATAACTGTGTGTATATATATCACAATAATAAGCATGTATTTATGATCCTCATTACAAGTAAAAAGATTTTGCAGAATCTTTAGGTAGAAGCATACTAGCTTTAGAATGTAACTTTTCTGTCAATGTCATCAAGTCAGCAAGATATCATTTGAATAAATATTCCTCATTGTTAAAGTCAGATGACATTATACAGGGCCTAAAAGGGAGGTTGCCCCACAAAAACATTTTTAGCCAGAATATCTGGGGTGTTGCATAGAATAACAGCATCTCTGAACTCATTTTAAAAAATGTCAGTTTTGCCAGATGAATGGCTTAGCAAAGATTTAACTGACAGCAGTAGTTCTGGTCAGCTATTTCCCAGGATACTTTGGCTACCCTAAAGCATTCCTCTTTAGCTCAGCCTCATGACCACGGGTTGCTTCCCCCTCCCACCCCCACCCCCACCCCCACATACACAGAGTATTGGGGTCTAAATGGAAGCAGAGGAAGAGAAAGGAGAAAGTTGATTTGGTAATGATCTAAATGAATGGAAGTGGTAATAAAGCTCTGATCATGCCTTACATTTTAGAGATAACTGAAGCTACATTTTAGAGGTAACCGAACCTGAATCTGTTCAAGTGGAAAGTGATTGTATTAGTCATTGCCAGCCATATCCTTCAATAACTATAGTGAGCGCTTTGCTTATCTTGACATGTTCAATTTCTCCTTCACTCAGCAAATGGGAACAAAACCACCTGTGACAGCTAGTTCAGCACTCTAGCTCTCCCTACTGATAGTAACAGACCTTGCTGTGTGGTGAGAGTAAGCAGGGTCTGGGGGTAAATTCATCTTAAAATAATGTTGCTACAGAAAGCACAGAATAATAAACAGACCTTATTTTTGATCATTTTCAAAGTTCTGGCATGCTATTCTGTCTCTTCTCTCAGATCTTATTCTTCCCCGCCCACAAGTAAAAATATTATTCTTCAATATGGTATTTAATTCTGGATTTTCAGTTGAGTTGGACAGTAAGTATCACATTATTAAAATACAGTGAGTAAAAATTAATAATAGTTGTTATAAAACCATTTGAGGTATTGGGGCATTCCCTTTATAATTACTATCATTTCTGGGTTTTCCATTAAATACAAATTTGGAAAAAGGACATCTAACCACCGCGTCGCGCTAGTCTCTAGGATATGACAGGAGAGGCAAGAGTATTAGCATACCTCCAAAGACTGGAAGTGGAATTGCAGCCAGTTGGGAGCTAGGAGAGAGATCTGAATTTGACTCTAGACTCTGCTATTGCTGGCCCTGTAACTTTGGGCAAAAATTATACTTTCTCTGAGTGTCCGTTTCTACATCTGTACGATCTGTACGATTTATTGAATTGTTTTTAGGCCCGTTCATGTACTAAACTTGGATGTTATAATTTTTAAATATTACAAGTTAACTGTATCTTAATTTTCTTATCTGCCTAGTTCACAATCAATATATTCATCAAGTTAAAAATGGAAGCCTGTAAGAGTTGATGAGTCCCATGCTTTCTTTTTCTCTGTGACGGCGTGGAGACCCTTATTAATATGAAGATGGGTAAGATTTAAGCAGCCTGGAAATTGGAATGTTAGAACAGTTGAAGCATCTTGGTTGCCCTGCAGGTCTCTGTGAACCTATAGTAGCTTTACATGATTGAGAATTACAAGTAAGTCACTGAGTTTGGGTGGTTGATTATTCCTGATGGGAACCCAGTAATCCTATATGGCTAGATATACTGTTGCCCACATAGGTCAGAAGTGGTGGGCTAGATTTTAAAATTATAGTCCTGCTTTGCATTCTTAATCACAACGAACACACACTTTCTAGTCACCCCTTCCCAGCACCTCACACTTGGGGATGCTTCTGGTGGACATTGACAATTGTAAAGTTTTGTTTCTGCTTTCCTTTCTCAGAAAACATATTTGAATGTCTCATTTTTCAAAAATTTAATTTAAAAACAACTTTGCTAAGCTTTATGTTTTATGATACATATATATTTACAAATATGTGTATATAGAGAATACATATATGAGTTTCTTGAAAGTAATAAGTCCTTCTCATAGCCATAATCTCATTTTCTTTGCAATATCATCCTGAACTAATAATAATTTAAAAAAATTATTTTAGATGCCTTTCAAATAACCGGGATAACTAGTAGAAGACAAGGAAGAGAGATTTGTATGAAGCCCCTTTATGCCTTAAAAAATTTTACTTGGTTCTTGTGAGCGAGCCTCATTCCTCTGTCTCACTTATGATAAAGCTTCAATTATTATATCTTCAATTATTTAAAATCAGTCTTCAAATTCTTTAGTCATACAAATTTATATCAATTTCAGTTGAAATTATGATAATGCCAGAACTTAGGTGAATATTTATTGTTGTTCTACTGCCGCTTTGGTTATTTTAAAACATATACTAAACATAGCATTACAGACTATAAAACAACCCACAGAGAATTACATGGCAATAATTTCATTAGGCTTTTAGTTTATGAAGTCCTTGATGTAATTATACCTTTGCAAAGCACTGCAGGCAATTCATTTCTCTAAAAGTCTACATTATATCTGAAAATCCTCAGAGTAGGAAACGGCATAAGAAAATGGCAAAATAACATCCCTGGCAATGTGGGGCTTTGGCAGTAAGAAAGTAAACACAGGGCCAAATGGAAACATTTAGTCTTGTTTTATGAAAATAAAAAAGCATTAAAATTAATCATGTAGATATATTTCTCTGTTTCTAGAAATATAGTGTTATGCAGCCAAAACATTTTAAAGGATTGGCTCAGCATAAGACTTTTGCTAACTTAATCATCAAAGTTGAAGTGAAAGATCTTATATATTATCCAACATATATGTGTAAACACACATATATAATGAATATATTATATATTTATAACGTTATTTTATATATAATATCTAGATTGTATAAAATACATGTGTACTCTGCTTTAGCTGATGGTTTTCCAAAAAAGAATTTTACATCATAAGAGAACCTAAATGCTGCGATTGTCTTTTTCAATGTCTCATCAGAAACCTGCGATATTTAATACTATCTAATAGCTATGAGAGGACACAATTTAACTTGGCTTCAAGTCAAAGAGACCAACTTCATGAATCTACTCTTTAGAAATCTGCTAAATACATTGTCAACGCAAAGATGTCTCTTGATATCATGGGGATTGTTTCAGAGACTCTCTCAAATGGGAAATTCTGTGACTTTTTAAAAGTCATTTTCTGGATGAGACAAAAATTTGGAGGTATTTATACATGTATGTAGAACAGCTACAGAGAGAAGGTTTGTTATTAATGATCACTATGTATTCAATTTTGCTCATTCTGAGCAAGGATCTTGACAGTGATAGTTATGTAAAGTCCATATATGTAGCCATATAATAAAGATAATATCTGGAAGAGAGTTTATATAGAGCTGTGTGAATAGATTTTTGTAAGATGTTTATAGTGAGCTGTTAAATAGATTAAGAATGACTAAACTCATCACGTAGAATAAAAATATAAACAGTGTATAGTTAGTCTAAACATAAGTATATACTATAAACTTTCATTCATTCAACATCTATTTGAGTTGAGTAGATGACATTAGTGATAAACAGATCATTCTACTCCTGCCCTGGCAAAGCTTATGGTCTAGTCATTTTCCATACTGTCTTCCTCCTTAAATTCCTCTTTGGAAATAACTTTTCATCCCATGGGATTCCATACAATAAACATTTAATGCTTAGGATAAGAATGTCTTGATGCACAACAAATTGACCAAGCCTTAAATTGGTAATGAGGTAATGCAGGGTGCCCCCTGTACCTTATTTTCTCAAGGTCCATTTGAACTACAAGATTTCAAAGAAATTATTTCAATATCTCAATGATAGAATAATATCTTGAGCTAAGTACTATCATTATACATGACATATAAAGGAATTCTGATATTAATTTTTAAATTTCTTTTCACTAAGGAGC